AATATGGTGACCGTACGTCAAGCGGTTAAGATTCGTGCCCAACTGTTGACGGACGGACGCACGGACGCACACTCATGCAATTCTACAAGCTGCATCTGACTACGTCAGATGAGCTAAAGACAACATTCACTGTACCGATAAAATATCACTAAAATAGTTTCCAATATGAAGAAAAACAAGAAGACATTCTTTAAGTAAACTACACCCAGTCTTAGGTCTGGTCCTAGCTATCTAGATACTGTATAAACGGCCATCAATGTCTGTCTAGTAACCAGCACATAGACATGACTGACCGTTCACCCACCCATCGCAACATCACACACCACTGTTTAATCACGCCTAAAAGGCCCCATTAAAAATACATATTCGTTTAAAAATTTACAAGCGTTAATGAATTCTATTTGAAACTGTACGATCGACGCACGTGCGCCGTGTGGCCGGACTGAGAAATGAACCCCAACAACTTGTATGGTCTTTTTTTTATTACAAAGACAGGACACAGTTCAGGCATGCAGGTACACAAAACAAGAAAGCAGCACCATTTATTATTATAACTCAAACTTTAATAGGTACACGTATAAAAATAACACACATTTAAGTACAATTATTCTTGTGACTACAACAACATCAGCTAAACAAATAAACAACACACAGGCATTTTATGAATAACTGAATTCAAGAGCATCATGTAACCCTAACCCTAACCATATCAGATAGTTACCAGGGTACGTTCCGGTACACCGGACGGTACCCAGGGTACGTTCCGGCAGTACCCTGGGGGACATAGACCTTATCTGCCTTACTATCAATTACACGTAACCATCTTAATGTCACTGAATGGACACACTCCTGAAATACAACATCCTACCATTTACACCGTAGACGATATATCTGTAAAAAATTTATCAGAAGTATCACTGATATGCCATACATATCACATATACTAGTATTTACAATCAGTGCAGATAAATTTCGTCAAAAAAATTATTAAAAATTAATTAAACCCGTGCAATTCTACCTGTAACATTCATTTTTCTCCAAACACTGCACACACAGCTAGATAGCTACACATGTGTGAAATGCCATCTTGCCTCCCTCTCACATCTTGGAACCCAAAAATGGAACCAAAAAAATGGAACCCAAAATGTCAAAAAAAACTTTTGGGTCGCGGCTATTTCCGTGGGTCGGTCGGAGGACAGCAAACATAATTTTTTAAGGATGGCCCTAGCTCTCACATCTTGCCTCTCACATCTTGTCTCTCTCACATCTTGCCTCTCTCACATCTTGCCTAGCTCTCACATCTTGCCTAGCTCTCACATCTTGCCTCCCTCACATCTTGCCTAGCTCTCACATCTTGCCTCTCTCACATCTTGCCTCTCACATCTTGCCTCTCTCACATCTTGCCTAGCTCTCACATCTTGCCTCTCTCACATCTTGCCTAGCTCCCACATCTTGCCTCTCTCACATCTTGCCGAGCTCTCACATCTTGCCTCTCTCACATCTTGCCTAGCTCTCACATCTTGCCTAGCTCTCACATCTTGCCTAGCTCTCACATCTTGCCTAGCTCTCACATCTTGCCTCTCTCACAGCTTGCCTCTCTCACATCTTGCCTCCCTCATATCTGTGGCTCCCCCTCTATGAGAACGTCCATGGCCTTGCGCGGTTCTCGCACGTTGTTCATGAACACCTGAGCCACCTCCGCCGGCGTCCACTTCCCGTCCGGGATCCTTCCCTCGTACTCCGCCGGAACCTCTTCCTCGAAGTAGTTCTCGTACATGTCGCGCGTCGCGCGCAGGGTGCAGCGGCCGAAGCATATCCTCATGTCCACGCGTCCTGGCCGCACCAGCGCCGCGTCCAACCGCTCGGGGTAGTTGGTCGTGATGACCATCATGCGGCCGTCCGTCTCCATCACCCCGTCCAACACCTCCAGCAGCGACGACAGTGTCAGCTTCTCCGTCGTTACCCGGGGCACCTGCAGGATGCCGAGCAGCGCCTGCGTCGCGTCCGGCGCCCCGGCAACGACCCCGCTGTCAGCCGGCGAGCAGTCGTCGTCGTTGCCGCGGCGACGATCACCACGACGTGGGAGACGGCGGCAGCATCGATCTCCTCGACGCACGTAGTAGAGGCGGCGTTGAGATGGGTACGTCGCGGCGATCGATCGGTCGGGTCGTGGAAGATGCGTCGCACTGCTCGGCAGAGCGCACGCGGGCGAGTGAGATGGACACGACGTGACGGCGCGTGCGCGCGGCGAGGGCCTTGATCGTGCTCGTCTTGCCGCACCCGGGCTCACCGTGGAACAGCAGCCCGAGCGCGTGTGGCACGCCACGACGCCGGTACCAGTCACGCTGCGTCTCGAAGAAGTCGACGCGCGCCGCAAGCTCCTCCTTCCCCTCGAAGAAGACGTTGTCGAACGACCGCATCGTCTCGAAGGGGAACTCGTCATACTCTGCGCATCGGTCGGACTCACTGTCGTCGGAGGTGCCGACGTTCGGCGGCCGGTAGACGAGGTAGCGCTGCTTCTGCTCGATGTCTCGCTGCAGGTGAGCGCGGTAGACTCTCACGCGCGTGTCCACATACGCCACCAGGTCGTCGACCGTCAACACAGACGAGAACAGACGGATCTTGAAGCTGTCCACGAGCTTCGTGCTGCTGCTGTCGTCCTCGCTGCTGCGGCTGACGAGCACCTCCGCGTGCAGGTGCGGCGCGAGCGTGAACGGATGCTGCTGACTAACGAGGAAGCCCGTTGCCACCTTGTCCTTGTCGTCGTCGTCGTAGTCGTTACGGCGATGCTGCTCCGCGTCGACATCGATCTCCAACATCTCGGTGACGCCGGCCGCCGCCGCTCGCATCGACTTGATGTCGTGCAGCAGAGCGAGGAACGTGGTCGAGTAGAAGAGCCGCGAGTGGTACGGTCCCTGGGTGATCTTACGTCCCTCGATCGTCAGCTGGTGGCGGTTGCGCAGCCGCAGACGCCGCCACGCCTCAGGCAACCACCCCAGGTGGCTGGGCAGCGTGAGCAGGTAGGTGGTGAAGCAGACGATGGCTGCAGTGATGATCGTATCCACGACGACGTTGCCCGTCCTGAACTGGAAGAGGAAGGAGTTCTTCAGTGTCTCCACCGCGTGGCCCATGTCCATGGCTGCGGGTCAGTCGTGTCACGCGGGAGCGTGCGCTGCGGGGAGGTATGTATCCCCGGGTCACGGAGATTCTGAAACAAGAGAACGTTCATCGTCACGGCGATGCCTGCGGACGACGTAATGCACACGTCTACCAAACGGTTCTTCGAGTGATTGACTCATCATATCGAAACGCGACGCCGGCGGTCCGGGACAGCGGCGGTCCGGGACGACGGCGGTCCGGGACGACGGCGGTCTGGGACGACGGCGGTCCGGGATTCTATCGCTATGATTGATGCGCTGCGTGCAACTCGCGATTCCAACAACACGAAGCGTGCAACTCGCGACCTACTTTACATCGATCGCAACAACACTTGCCGCAGCGATAACAACCTACTCTCTACTACTCTCTACAAACCAATGGCTTCCAACATTGCGCACGCACGCGGGGGCTCAGGGATAGAGAAGATGTACAGTTCTATCTTATCAACTAACATCATCCTATCCAATCACCGTACTGGACATCATCTCTATCCTTTTTCAGGGATAGATAAGATGTCCAGTCCTATCTTATCAACTAACATCATCCTATCCAATCACCGTACTGGACATCATCCTTGAACCCACGCGGGCGCACAGTCACGCTGGACGCTCGTGCTAGACCACACGCAAATGAAACTATAACTTCGTTCACTCTTAACGTTCGCTAACAAAGTAAAACAGCATAAAACGTGAACTTACCTGAATAGGGTAGTTAGTAGCTAGTCGTGGTAGCAGTAGTAGTAGTAGTACCGGCACGAATGTAGACACAGGCTAGGCCAGCGATGAAGAAGGAAGTGTGACTCTGTCTCTCAGTATTACTCCATGCACCACTGAACGCGTGGCTGCGCTTTATATATCAGCGATGATGAGTCATCAGCATGGG